AGGGGAAGAATGAAGGGGAGTAAGTCGGAGGGGGAGATGAACCATGAGAGATGATGGACTCTGAAAAACAAACTGAGGGTTCTAGAGGGGAGGGGGGTGGGGCGATGGGTTAGCCTGGTGATGGGTATTAAAGAGGGCACATTCTGCTTGGAGCACTGGGTGTTATGCACAAACAATGAATCATGGAACACTACATCAAAAACTAATGATGTAATATATGGTGATTAACATAACAATAAAAAATAAAAAATAAAAAGACAATCCATTTTTTAAAAAGCAAATATTTAAATTCACATTTCTTCAAACAAGATGGACGAATGGCCAATAAGTACATGAAAAGATGCTCAATATCATTAGCCATTAGGAGAATGAAGTAGTGGTACAGAGGACAACATGGATAAATGTTAAAATATTACACTAAATGAAAGAAGTCAGGCACAAAAGGCTAAATATTGTTTAAGTCCATCTATATTACATGTCCAGAAAAGACAAATCCATAGAGACGGAAAAGTAGATTCGTGGTTGCCAGGAACTACAGAAAGAGGGAGACGATGGAGTGGCTGCTAATGGGTATGGGGTTTCTTGGGAAAATGAAAGTGTTCTAAAATTAGATAATGATGGTGGCTGTGCAACTCTATGAATATACTAAAAATCACTGAACTGTATACTTTGAAATGGTAAATTTTATGGTATGTAAATTATATCTCAATAAAGCTATTAATATATATTTAAGCTTTAAAATGTATAAAATTTTTTTCTAGAGATGGTGACTTATAAAAAAATAAGTATTAAGTTTGTACTTACAGCTTTGCTCTGCAATTTGTTGAAAGAATATCTCAAGGTATCAACTGCTTCTGATTCTTCTTTGGTCACTTCAACTTCAAATCTATTTAAAATAGCGTAGGCTTCCTGGAAAGTGGGAGTAGAGTTCAGAAATATCACAGGAAAGCAAATGCCAAATGATTTAGATGCCCTGTAGAAACACATTCCTATTTTTCCCATTCTTAGAAGAGAGTGTATTTTAGAAGAGTGGTTCCCAAAATTAAACATGTATGTAAACATCTCTAAATTCTCCCTGATACCAGATATTGACTCTAGATCTTAGGTCCTGAAATCTGCATTTAATAAGCACCTAGGTGATTCTGATGGAGATGTAGGCAGATCACACTGAAATACTATCTTAGTCGAGGCGTCTGGATGGCTCAGTTGGTTGAGCATCTGACCCTTGATCTCAGCTCAGGTCTTGATCTCACAGTCATGAGTTCAAGCCCCACATTGGGCTCCACACTGGGCGTGCAGCCTACATCAAAAAAAGAAAGAAAGAAAGAAATACTATCCTAGAAAATATCCCTAGGATCATTTTCTCCTCCTTGATCTCCTCTCTCCTCTTTGATCTTGTGCAACACCATGCAAAATATCTTCTCATTATTCTATTAAAATATGCATTGGCTATATAAAGAACAGAATGAAACAATGATGTGGGAGATACCCTGAAGAAAAGAAACTTGAATGGTCAAAGGGATGGATTGGCAATGTGATTTACTAAAATAATTCATGCTGAAGAATAAAGTTTCTGGAGTGCCTGGGTGACTCAGTGGGTTAAATGCCCAACTCCTGATTTCGGCTCAGGTCATGATTACAGGGTCATGAGATTGAGCCCCACATCGGGCTCCATACTGGGCATGGAGCCTGCTTAAGATTCTCTCTCTTCCTCTCCCTCTGCCCCTCCCCCACTGCTCACACAAGTGCACCCTCTCCCTTAAAAAAAAAAAAAAAGGTAATAAAATAAGAGTCTGATTTTTATTACCACCTTGAGCCAGGAATTTAAATATTAGTCATAATTAATTTGTGGTAGACAAAATAATGGCTCTCTCCAGTGTTGTCCACATCCTAATCTCTAGAGCCTGTGAATATGTTACTTTACATGGCAAAAGGGACTTTGCAGATGTGATTACGTTTGGAAAAAGAAAAAAAAAACTTGAAATGGGGAGATCATCCTGGACAAACTGGTTGGACCCAACGTGATCACAAATGTCCATATAAGGGAAAGAGGGAGGCAGGAGAGTAAAGCCAGAGAAGATGTAAAGACTGAAGCAGGGGCAGGAGTGATGACATTGCTGTAAGGGGCTGTGAGCCAAGGAATGCAGGTGACTTCTAGAAGCTAGAAAAGGCAAGGAACAGACTCTCTCCTAGAGCCTCTAGAAAGAATACAGCCCTTCTGACATCTTGATTTTAGTCCCATAAAATCCATTTTCAGACTTATGATCTGTAGAACTGTAAAATAATATATTTATGTTGTTTTAAGCCATTAAGTTTATGGTAATTTGTTATAGCCACAGTAGGAAACTAATATAGTACTCCACCCTAGAAACATCTCTGGTTGATGTTAGTTCCAACAGACTACTATTGAGCCTAAGTGGACTCCTCCCACCATGCTTCCCTTGGTATGCCATTGGTCATGAATGAGACCTATAGTGGTTTCTAAGGAAAGCCAAAGATATTTGGGGAACTTGCCTAGCATGCTGGGATTGACATGAAAGAGCACAAGCATTCATTTCTGTAAAATGTTGGTACTAGCATAAAAAAACTGAACACTGTCTAGATCAGTTCAACATTATTAATATATTAATATTCCTTTGTATACTGTTCACTGTTGGTAATTGTCAAAAACCCCTCCAAGGACATCAAATCAGAAAGGAGAAACTGGCAGACTGTGCCATAAAATAGGTGAAGGAAATATGTTAACAGAATCAATTTTTAGTGTGTCTCTATTTAAAAAAAAAAAAGTATTTCAAGAAAGAAAAATGTGATCATTTCTTACTTCAATTGGTCCCAAAGTCATGTCCATTTGAATTTCATTATCACGGATAGATGATAAGGCTTCCATTGCAAACCTGACATCATCTAAATCACGAATAGGTCTAGATAACTTTTTCAAGTATTCATTGATAAATGCTATCATGTCTGACATTTTCTTTTTATATTCTTCATTCAAGTAGCGACAGAGTAACATCTTCCATGCCTTAGCCTCAATTGATAAGGCCAGTTTCATTGGCTCTGGGGAAGAGGAAGAAAGATCAGAATGGAATACAATTGACATTCTGAAACTATTTACTTCATGTCTAATCTGAGCATCTCTAACTTCACTGTCCTATTTGATGATCCCAGCTCCAACTAGTCAACTCTATCTTAATCCTTACACATTCCTCTTTCCTTCTCTTGGTATCCCTCAACCCACCAGCCCTGCCACGCTTGAAACATGACTGCTCCTTGCCAACTCCCAACAGTTAGACTAGGGAGCTGCGGAAACATACAGCCAGCTTGTTGGTTGAGGCTGAGAGATCCTCTCATGAGCTCTGCGTCTTGTGGGCCCCTCTTCTCCTTTTCCTCAGTCCCCAAGCATTCAGCCCACCTTCCCCCTACTTTAGAACTGTTGCTGCCTATTCCATTTCTTAGTTTTCTCTCTCTAAACTTGAGCCCCCAGCCAACTCTCACTCTGTGCTAGAGTTGATTTTTGTATGAGGAATCACAGTGCTAACCACATGAGAAAACAAATAGGAAATTTAAATAATAGTAATAATAATAGGTAAACTAATTTTCCAAAAGTCTACAGTTCTTGGAATTATTGTCCCTGAAGTATAGTTTCTGATTTCTTTTTTTTTTTTTAAGATTTTATTTCTTTATTTGACAGAGAAAGACACAGCGAGAAAGGGAGCACCAGCAGGGGGAGTGGGAGAGGGAGAAGCAGGCTTCCCGCGGAGCAGGGAGTCCGACGTGGGACTCGATCCCAGGACCCTGGGATCATGACCTGAGCTGAAGGCAGACACTTAACGACTGAGCCACCCAGGCGCCCCTAGTTTCTGATTTCTAACTAACTATTCCCTTCAAGTATTTGTGATTCTTCCCCAATTTAAATCCCTTCTTGATAGATATAATAACAGCATTTAAGGGGCGCCTGGGTGGCTCAGTCAGTTGAGCTGCCAACTTGATTTCAGCTCAGGTCATGATCTCAGGGTGGTGGGATCAAACCCTGCATCTGGCTCCATGCTCAGTGGAGTCCGCTTGAGATTCTCTCTCTCCCTCTGCCCCTCTCCCCCACCCCCATGCTCTCTCTCTCTCTCAAATAAACAAATAAATATTTTAAAAAATAACAACAGTATTTCATATTTATTGAACATCAACTATTTGCCAAGTAGTATGCTAAGTGTCCCATATAAAGCAGTTCATGAGGTGAACTTTGTCATTATCACCAGCAGAAGGGATGGGATTAAAGAGGTCAGGTAACCTTGACAATCAAATTTGAGAGCCACAGTTACACTTACTCTTTAAGGATAGATCTGAAAATCTACTTAAGGTGGACAGTTGATGTAAAATAGGTCATTCAAATATCTTCTGAGAATAAAATCTTCTCACAAACTTCTGACAAGACTGTACCGCTGTAACCATGGCAACAAGTAGCCACCATAACCCAGTTTTAAACCCAAGCCATAGACCAACTGACCTCAGGTCACATACTTTTGCCACCCGATCAGCATCAGCTCCTCCCTTCTGAATGTCAACCAATCGAAAAGAACATATCTATAAGCCTGCCCCTGAGTGCCAACCAATCAACAACAATCTCACCTGAGTAAACATCTTTCTACAGATGATATTAACCTATTTACACCCACCATCCTTAAACCCCGTGCTGCCCAGACACCCTATATGAGTGTGCTCTGCTCGGAACACTGGGCCTGACCAGCATCACTCTCCCTTACTTTTGTAATCAGTAAAATCAGTTTGGGAGTTTTATTTCAGATATTAAGCAGCTGTCTCATCATCCTTTGGTACACTAATCCCAAGTGGATTAACTTCTCAGGAAATCTCAAATTGTTTGATTCCTATCTCATGTATACAGCTCTTTCCTCATAGTAACCTGAAAAAGAGTCTCACCTGTAGCTTAGTTGCTTGACTGCCAGTTGAGGAATTGCATCGTATTCAGTATATTAAGCCACCCTGGTATAATATTATATGCAAAGAATATATAATAATATATGATATAACACACATTGTATATATACATATATATAATATATAGATGAACAATATTCGTGGCCCAGAAATATTTGATATTTACAATATTGTACCAAAGCAGCTTCACAACTGCTTTCTAAATAAAGCAACATTTCATGTGAAAATATAGATACTTTATGTAACATTTTTAAAATACCTGTATGCAATTCAAGTGCTCCCACAACAATAATAGGCTTCAACTCATCGATCTCCTGTTCAAAAGTTGCAAAGTGTAGAATTTCTGATCTGATTTCAGTCAGAGAGGGGTTGTTAGCCAAAAACTCCTGTAGTAAGGAAACAGTGTTTACTTTAGCTTTTTGACAGTATAAATCTCACATTGCCTTTTTTTTTTGCTTATATACTTTTCCACTATATGTCAGGGGACTGGCTCAGTAAAGAGAGGGATGAGCCAGTAGTACTGAAGATGAGGCTACGTGAGGGAATGTCACAGTCTACCATGAATAACAACAACAACAATAATGATGTTATTCGTGTGTCATTGAGTCTATAACCAAAAAGACAGCTGTATCTATGTAAGTGTGACACACGCTTGAGTGCCCAGTCTCTGAATGTGTGGAACGCAATCGGTACTCAATTGTTTGCACAAATTAAACGAAATCTTCCTGAGCCTCATTCCTTTCAGTTGCTTCAGTGTCAATGTGAGAATTGCAGAAAATCGAATATGTTAGGTGCTGGACATTTACAGGTCCCTGACCTCTGCTCATGAGTTCCTGTCACGATCACTGATACTTCCCTGGTAGTCTTGCCCACGTTAGATATAAACAACTCAAACCCAAACTGCATCACAAGTAGCAGAAATACACCTTCACTTTCATGTCTCGGTCCTCGGTCCAGAGCGTCTTGTACTTTTGAAAGTCCTGCAAGGCCTCGTGAGCTACCTTTCGTAGAGAATTCACAGAGGAAGAAAGGAGGAGAACCAACTTGGAAATATCCTTGTGCTCTGCCACCCCTGGATAAAAATTCTTCAGCTTCCTTGCAGGAATAATTTCTTCAAAAGATCCTGAAAACAGGTATTTTTATATGTAGATAACTTCTATATTCAACTTTAAATATTATCAATGTTAATATTTATAGATTTTTTTCAAGCTGTCATTTTTAAAGGACTCTCCCTCCAAGTAATTGAGAGCTATTCTCTTATACGTCACTTACTCTTATTAAACCACTGTGTCAGATTCTGAGGTCTAGATTTCTTTAATTGGAAAAACTGTTTTCAGAGAAGAGAACTGAAAGACACTGATGAAACCCTCCCCACCCCAAATAAGTCCTCCAAGGAAAGGTCAAAAGAGCTGACATTGTTGCTCTACAGAACAGCATGGTGGTTAAAAGAGAGGCACAAATTTGCAACGACGTGGATGGAACTGGAGGGTGTTATGCTGAGTGAAATAAGTCAATCAGAGAAAGACATGTATCATATGACCTCACTGATATGAGGAATTCTTAATCTCAGGAAACAAACCGAGTGTTGCTGGAGTGGTGGGGGGTGGGAGGGATGGGGTGGCTGGGTGATAGACATTGGGGAGGGTATGTGCTATGGTGAGCACTGTGAATTGTGCAAGACTGTTGAATCACAGATCTGTACCTCTGAAACAAATAATGCAACATATGTTAAAAAAAAAAAAAAGAAAAAAGAAGAAGATAGCAGGAGGGGAAGAATGAAGGGGAGTAAATTGGAGGGGGAGACGAACCATGAGAGACGATGGACTCTGAAAAACAAACTGAGGGTTCTAGAGGGGAGGGGGGTGGCGGGATGGGTTAGCCTGGTGATGGGTATTAAAGAGGGCACATTCTGCTTGGAGCACTGGGTGTTATGCACAATGAATCATGGAACACTACATCAAAAACTAATGATGTAATGTATGGTGATTAACATAACAATAAAAAATTAATTGAAAAAAGAGAGGCACAATATTTATTACCTAAATAACCTTAGGCCAGTTTTTTAATCTTCATGGAAATACTTGTGAGGATTAAATGAGACAACATGAAACAACATATGTTTGTCTTCAGCTCAACATCTGGTATATCGAGACATGCAATCACTATTAACCACCACTATAAACATCTCTTGCCAAAATGTGATCATGTCACTGCCTTGATCAAAATTCTCCAGTATTCCATCCGTCAAACAGACTATACAGATACATTTGGCCCAAACAATGCCTTGCTTTTTCAAAACAGTTGTGAACAATTAAAAAGCATGATGATTCATGCAAAATTCCAGATTTCTAACTTCTCTTTTAAAAAGGTTTAATCTGGGGCACCTGGGTGGCTCAGTCAGTTAACCGTCTGCCTTTGGCTCAGGTCATGAACCCAGGGTCCTGAGATTGAGTCCTGCATCGGGCTCCCTGCTCAATGAGGAGCCTGGTGCTCACCCTGGTTGTGCTCTCTCTCTCTCTCAAATAAATAAATAAAATCTTTTAAAAAAATAAAAAGGTTTAATCTAGGGCGCCTTGGTGGCTCAATCGGTTAAGTGTCCAACTCTTGATTTCAGCTCAGTTCATGATCTCAGGGTTTTGTTATTTTGTTTTTAAAGATTTTATTTATTTGTCAGAGGGAGAGAGAGAGAGTACAAAAGCAGGGGGAGCAGCAGGCAGAGGGAGAAGCAGGCTCCCCGCTGAGCAGGGAGCCCGATGCAGGGCTCGATCCCAGGACCCCGGGATCATGACCTGAGCTGAAGGCAGACGCTGAACGACTGAGCCACCCAGGCACCCCTCATTATGGTTTTAACCTGTATTTCCCTAATAACTAATGATGGATGTTGAGCATCTTTTCATGTGTGTTTTTATTTTTATTATTATGTTCAGTTAGCCAACATATAGTACAACATTAGTTTTTGATGTAGTGTTCAACGATTCATTAGTTGCATATAACACCCAGTGTCTATCACAACATGCGCCCTCCTTGCAAAATTCACAGCGCTCACCGTAGCACATACCCTCCCCAATGTCTATCACCCAGGCACCCCGTCCCTCCCACCCCCGACCACTCCAGCAACCCTCAGTTTGTTCCTGAGATTAAGAATTCCTCATATCAGTGAGGTCATAGGATACATGTCTTTCTCTGATTGACTTATTTCACTCAGCATAACACCCTCCAGTTCCATCCACGTCATTGCAAATGGCAAGATCTCATTCCTTTTGATGGCTGCTTAATATTCCATTGTGTATATATACCACTTCTTCTTTATCCATTCATCTGTCGATGGACATCTTGACTCTTTCCACAGTTTGGCTATTGTGGACATTGCTGCTATAAACATTGGGGTGCACGTACCCCTTCGGGTCCCTACATTTGTATCTTTGGGGTAAATACTCAGTAGTGCAATTGCTGGATCGAATGGTAGCTCTAATTTCAACTGTTTGAGGAACCTCCATACTGTTTTCCAGAGTGGTTGCACCAGCTTGCATTCCAACCAACAGTGTAGGAGGGTTCCCCTTTCTCCCCATCCCCGCCAACATCTGTTGTTCCATGACTTGTTAATTTTAGCCATTCT